GGCAACCAGAGCGCTGAAACAGTGAACTTCATTGTGGTTCTCAGTCCTATTTGCTTTCATTTTGGGTCCTTAGCTACTCAAATTCCTAGAGGTATATCCAAGACCTTTGGGATTGCATGTGTCCTTCCACCTTTTGAGAAGGGCTCTTCTCTCTACGAAAGGGTCTTGGTGTTAAGTGCTCCTCACTCTGGCTGGTTTTCTCAGCAACCCTTGTTGCTCCTGGGTGGCCGACCTCTTGTCCAGTTTGGACAGGGATTCCTCCCCTCAGGCAACATCTCCATTAGAATCCTTTTTCCCCCTTCTTTTTCATGTCTCTTCTACTCAGGACTGGTCTGAAGCACGAATGAATTCCTGGCCAGAGGTGGAAAGCAAGGAGATTGGGGAGGCCATGGTAACAGGGTCCTCTTGCTCACCAGAGTAAGTGAGAGTTGGTTTTCTTAGGTTCACTTTGTCCTTTTCTCCCTAAGGCAGATCTGCCCAGTGACAGTTTACATCATACCCTCTGCTTTGAACCCAGCTCCCAGAGCCAGCCCAGAACAGGGCCTGCAAAGAAGCCTGGCTCCTCTGCCCTCCATGGCCAGTTCCGCTGCACATGGCTGTGCAAGGTCGCCCACGAGGGCTGCAATGCATGTGGGGCTCTGCTCAGGCTGTACCCCAAGCAGTGTGTGCCCACGGGAAGCGCACGCCTCTAATTAGTGTGAAGGCAGAATGTGTGTGTTCCTTGATAAGAAAAGTGCATGTATTTTCAGAGGATGTATTAGCATTAGGAGGAAAATTTGATTTTTCTTTAAAATTTCCTGGATGGAATCTGTGACCAATTTTAAGAAGGCTATGCTTTAGAACAATGTGTAGGAGGAACACACACACACACCTTGTTACACAGTGGCACTCATTCATCACACCTACTCTATACTTCCAATTTCTTTCCCAAAGCAGCAATCATTTTCAGACACTTAAAATACTTGACATTTTATACTATGCTTACTACAACAGACTAAAGGTATAATCAACTGTCAGTAGAAATATCTATAGGTAGATAAATACAATGTTAACTCTGATTTTTACAAATCTACATATATATCAAGGCTAAAGACCATATATCAGCAAATGTCCGCAATAGTAAATAACAATTAAGAAATTGAAGAACTACACTTTTATCCATGTTTCCATATTCTAAACTCTTTGCTTAATGTTAATTTCATTTTCAGAGTAAGAGAAAGCTTTTTTGCATTTCCCAAGTATACCACAATTCTACTTTTTGCCATCATCTATGTTCACATCTCAAAGGGAAAACAGATTTATTATAGTCATTTTGGCGTTTAAGAAACCAAACTGTCATGGATGTCGTCCAAGAAAGACTGTATCAACTTCCACTCTGCAGCAAAGAATAACCACATACAGAGTACAAGTGTAGCAACTCGAAGCCTGCGTGAACTGAGTGTTGGAAGAGCACCCAGGTTGAGAGAACCATCAAAAAGAGTTCACTCTTGGGCTTCGCTGGTGGCGCAGTGGTTGAGAGTCCACCTGCCGATGCAGGGGACACGGGTTCGTGCCCCCGTCCGGGAAGATCCCACATGCCGCGGAGCGGCTGGGCCCGTGAGCCATGGCCGCTGAGCCTGCGCGTCCGGAGCCTGTGCTCCGCAACGGGAGAGGCCACAGCAGTGAGAGGCCCACGTACCGCAAAAAAAAAAAAAAAAAAAAAGAGTTCACTCTCTAAAATGTCCAAACACTTCGCTGCCTCCTTCAATAAAGTATAACAAATATGACTTAACCCTTTCTTAATGACATAGAACATTAAGAAGGGGTTAAGAATGAACAATGGATTTGAAATTAAGAGGACTGGGTTTGACTCACTGGGTCGACATGCCCTGGGACACTGATCTTGGTCATTCACTGCACCTTCCGGGGCTTGTCATCTTTAAGAGAGGATCACCGAATTCCTCAGAGCTGTCTAGAAGATTAGGCTACACAGCACACGTGAAGTGCCTAGGGCAGTGCCCCGGTTCTTGCAGAGGGTGCTCCATGAAATGCCAGCCCACTTCTTTACCCCTCTGTGCACAATCTGAACAGATGAGTTGCTGCTGTATGTGCTGCAGGGCTGTCACCCCTGTGTGGAGGCACATGTCAAGAGTGGGTCACTGGGCAGAATAAATGCAACTCTACGTCTTGCCCTAGAGTTTTTTTTTAAGCACTTACATTGGATATATGTGTGAGTGTGTGGTGTGTGTATAAAAATGTATTCTTATTTGGTTTCCTTTTTCTCATAAAAGTGAAATATGAGCATATGACTCCCAGACAATAGGATATGGCTGTCTTTCTGCAAACTTCTTCCTTCTTCCCAAGCCGTCTCCTCACCCTTCAGAAAGTCAGCTCCCCAATGCCGTTATGCTATCTTCAGCTCACGTTTCATAGATCCTTTGTGCCACAGATACTTCATATACATATACATATACATATGTGTGTGTGTGTGTGTGTGTATATATATATATATATATATATATATATCATTAAGAGCAACTTTATTCATAATCACCAAAAACTGGAAGCAACCAAGATGCCCTTCATATATCCACACAATAGAAGGTACTCAGCAATAAAAATGATCTATCAAGTCACAAAAGACATGGAGGAACCTTAAATGCATATTGCTAAGTAAAAGAAGCCAGAAAAAGTCTACATACTACATGATTCCAAGTATATGACATTTTGAAAAAGGCAAAACTATAGAGACAGTAAAAAGATCAGTTAGTAGTTGTCAAGGGGAGAGGGGGAGAGATGAACAGGTGAGGCAAAGGAGACTTTCAGGGAGAGGAAACATATATATAAATTTATTTTTTTATATATATATATATGTTTACATATACAGACGTTTATACATATATACATGTAAACTTAGCCATTGTGAAAGAAACCACAGAACAATCAAGGCCAACAATAAGGCAGCCACTTATATCTGAGTGTGTGTATTACCTCAGCGTTCACAGCAATTTCTGTGCTCTTTTGTTTACCAGTGATTTAAACACGCTTTGCAGTCTATAGCCTCTAAGCTTAAACCATTTCATTGTTAATGCATCTAAGTATAGAAACTACTTATTTGGGTAGCTTTATCAAAAAACAACATTTACTATTGCATCCCCATTGCACACCAGTGAAGTGTAAGCTATGGGTTATCAATCGTACTTTAGAGATGGGCAAATGCAGGTATAGCTGTAATTCAGGTGTGAAGAAAGAAATATACACAAGACACAATTTATAGCTGATGTCTTTCTTTACATCTGTAAGCCAAAAAGCATACAACACATTATTCACTCACCTCACTAGGAATATGTTTTGGCAACTCTGTGAACAATAACTGTGTGTGTTAATTTCCTAAGGCATGATATTTGGTTGGGCTGACCCTCAATTTGTGATCCCTCCCCCTTCTATTTTCCTTTGTACCTGCTACTTGACGGATGACTTTTTCCTTTCTATCACTATTTTCATTTCAGCTGCCAGCATTGCCTCAGTTATCCTGTGAAACATATCTCAAACTCTACCAGCTATAGAAAAGAGAATGGATAATATCATACACTTTAATAAGCCTCTAAAGAAAAATATTTAGTAAAAAGGTGAACTCCCAACATTCTTCAAGACCCAAATACCACGTTCTCTGTAAAGATTTGCACTGATCGCCCCAGTTAACCACACCCTCCTTTTTGCTCCCACTATGTCTTATATTCTGCTTCTATTATACCTCCCATCACAGTGAGGACATGGAATTATGTATATAACTCTCTCCCACCAGGATGTGAGCCTGCCAAGAGAAGAAACCCTTATTTTAGCCCAGCAGACACTGAACATAAGTTGGATGAAATGGAATTGAAGAACAAAACTCTGTAAAAGAAGATAAACCTCTAGTCGGTATCTGGTTTGATGTAGTTGAGTAGTTCTCAAATGAAAACAGCGGGTGAGGAGGGTGGGCAAAATGGGTGATGGGTGAAGTTATTTATATTATAACTGAAAGGTACAAACTTTCGGTTATAAGATAAATAAGTCCTGGGAATGTAATGTATAGCGTGGCAACTATAGTTAACAATACTGTATTGTATTTTTGAAAGGCACTAAGACAGTAGATTTTAAAAGTCCTCATGACACAGAAAATTTGTAACTATATGTGGTGATGGATGTTAACTTATTATAGCAATCATTTTGCAATATATACATATTTCAAATCACTGTGTTGTACCTAAAACTAATAGAATGTTACATGTCAATCATATTTCAGTGAAAAAGTAATTCTAAAAGGAAGGGTTTTGTGTATTCTAATAATTGTTGCACTAACATGAAATTAGATACGAACCGTGAAGCTTCAGATTTGGATTTATATTGTCTTTATGAAGTTTTGTTTTGATTTGCTATGATAGTCATACACTGACATGGCTTTTGTATTCTACTAGTTGTCACTATTATTCTTTCATTTAAAAAAAGAAAGAAAACGAATGTTCTCTGAAGATTCCTATAAATCCTATAACAATTTTAATGATGAGCAACTTTGGCTTTCAAACCATCACATTCTAATCTATTACTTGAGGCCCTGATCCTGAAATGTATGTCGAGGACAGGGTGTCAAGATGCTAGATGGAGCTCTTTACAGGTTTAGATTGTTTTTTTTTGGGGGGGGGGGGGGGGGGGAGTGTTCTTGTCTTTAAGCCAGTAAAGCCATGATTGAGTCACTGAGCTGCAGTGATGACAATGAGAATTCAAGTTATCTTCCAAACTCTTTCCCACATAATAATTCTTCAGGATATTTTAAAATTACACCAGCAAGCAACTGAGCTAAGATTAAAATATTTAAGATCAAATTATTTTACTTACCTTTCCATTATTTTAGTTGTAACCTTAAGTAGATGTAAAACGTTTTTTAACCTCAAAGTGAGTAACAAGAAAAATAACATGAATGATCTCCTCTGTTTAGGTGCAGTTAAAATGTTATGCCTCTCAGGTGACGTATGGTACCATACCTGTCCTGTGTATGCAAATTCCAGAGCTTGCTTTAAGCCGAGGCTGGTCACACCGTGTAAATTCACCTCGTCGGCACCACTTTCCACCATACAAAGACTGAACATGGCCTGAGGTGGGAGAGAAAGGAAGACAGTTACGCGACTTAAAAAGCAAGAGAACAAGACAAAGTCCTAGAGTAACTAAGAAAGAAAGAAGTTTTACAAGTTAAAGACTGATTTTGGTTTTTGAAATGCTTCTGCAAAACTTCCTTCACACAAGCCCCTGCAAATCACTTTGCTGTCCAAATAGTTACAGTAACACACAGATGGCTCTGCACACCTCACACACAGAGCGGCGCTGAATCCCACAGCTGTTCTCCGGGGTGACTTGTGTTGAGGCTCTCTCCCTGAACTCATTCTCTCGATCCTGGCGTCCCACAGCTAACTTGATATGGGTAGCAGTCCCGAACATTCTTGCCATAAGACATGGAAAGTAGTGCCTTGCCTCCTGACTTCTCTGCCCTTTTTTCTGCCTCACCTCAAGGACGCATCTCATCCTTCTCATCTGCCATAGATCACACCCTCTATTCCAGTGGTTCTCAAAGTGTGGCCCCTGGGTCAGCAACATCAGCATCTCCTGGGAACTCCTTAGAGTATAGATTTATGGAGCTCCAGCCCAGACCTACACAATCAGAAATTCAGAGTGGGACCCAGCAATCTGGGTTGTAATGGGCCATCCGAGAGACTCTGATGCTTACCTGAATTTGAGAACCACTGTCTAAGTTATTCAGTGAAACTCAATTTGCCTCCAAACCAATTCTCAAAATGGCCAACTTACTGAAAATCAGTTTGTCAAATGAAAACTTTGAAATTTAAAAAATGCAGGAATTTCCTGGTGGTCCAGTGGTTAGGACTCCACGTTTTCACTGCTGAGGTTACGGGTTAAATCCCTGGTCAGGGAACTAAGATCCTGCAAGCCATGCAGTGTGGCCAAAAATAAATAAATAAAATAAAATGAAATAAAATTTAAAAAATGAAAACTTACCAAGTTAAACAAATGAATGGGCTCCCCCCCCCCCCAAAATAAAGAAACCACACTAATTTGTACACCTTTAACAAGTTTGACTTAACAGGTAATAGAGATAATATTCAATTTTGGGTCACTCATTATGAAATACACTATTTAGAAAAGTGTACATCTATGTAGTGAAGAATTAACCTTACCCAAAGGGAGGTCTGGCCTTTGCCTTTGGTTTCTGGAAGGTAATCTAGGCCTTTGGAATATCCTGCCTGATAGGAGCATCCCTGTTTCCCGGGGCTTTGGCCACTGACAGTCTAACGATATGATTTATGACAGGAGCTTTGGTCCACACCGTAACAGCTATGACCTAGTGGGAAGCAGCCGCATAGCACAGGAAGATCAGCTCGGTGCTTTGTGACCACCTAGAGGGGTGGGATAGGGAGGGTGGGAGGGAGGAAGACGCAAGAGGGAAGAGATATGGGGACATATGTATATGTATAACTGATTCACTTTGTTATAAAGCAGAAACTAACACACCATTGTAAAGCAATTGTACTCCAATAAAGATGTTTAAAAAAAAAATAGAGGGACCAGAGACTAAAGGTATTAGTCTGACCTCCAAGAGAGGCTGGAGATGAAAGGTCAGCCACATAGGCAGTCTGTGACTGAGCACCAATAAAAACTCTGGACACCAAAAACGAGTGAGCTTCCCTGCTTGGCAGTCCTCTGTGCTTCCTGTCACAGAGCGCGGTCAGGAGGGGGTAACGCAATGACTCCACAGGCAGAAGAGGGCCAGAAGCCCCATATGTGGTTCCCTCCTGGACTCCGCCTTCTGTGTCTCTTCCCTTGGCTGATTATGATCTGCATCCTTTCCCTGTAATAAGCCACATCTGTGAGTACACAGCCTTCAGTGAGTAATGTGAGTCTTTCTAGCGCATTACCGAACATGAGAGTAGTTTCAGGAATCTCAAACTTGCAACTGGTGTCAGGAATAAGAGAAGTCTTGAAGGGATTGTCTCTTCCGATTTTGCAGTTTGGCTAACTTCTTAGAAGTAAAACAAAGATCAAAACGAACAAACAAACCAACCCTCACTGTTCTATGTGACAGTATTTAAGTTCATACCAAATCTTTTTAATTTTAAAAAGTCATTTTTTTGTTTTGCAAATGGATTAATATTCATCTTCTAGCAATTTTTTATTCTGATAAATTCATTTTTGATTCTCAAAATTCTTTACATTTTAAATTAATATGTATGGGACAAGTGGTTTTAATTGATGGTCCATTATTCTTTCTGGAGGTCCTCATTTCTATCTCACACAGTAGAGTTGTAAGTTTCATAATGAATAAGATTCTCTTTGATAACTTCTAGTTAACCTTTTAACTGTTAGAAATACACAATTTGAGAAATTTTGTAAAGAATATTTTAAATGCTTATAATTTGAGAAACTAAAAAATAACATTCAAAGTATCCTAAAGACACTGGGAGTATGTAACATGTAACATATGCAATTATATTTGCTATATTAAATAGCAGACATTCAGAATATATTTAATTCAAAAATTCACTTTATCATGAATAAATGAAATCTAACATTCCTTTAGAAGCTGTTAAAGGTGAATGGCCAATATGGTAAATTTGACAACTTGGTTAGTGAGTTGATCTGACTTCCCACTGATGCCACTGGCAGTTAAGGTTAAGAACACTAGACTCGAAGTCACATAATCCTTGGTTTAGTGAAGTACAGTGATTAGAAGCAAACACGTAACCAAACAATTCTGAGTCTGAACACTGCCAAGTGACTAGGAAAAACACATACCTTCTCTGTGATTCAGTTTTCTTATCTGAAAAATGGGGCTAAAGATTGTACCCACTTCATGAACTTTTGGAAGATTATATGATAGTACATATAAAGTACTAAATACAGTGCCTGATACATGGCAAGCTCTTAGAAAAATTTATATTTGATGATAACAATGAAATGAAGTTTCAATGAAGTTTCAATGAAGTTTCTCTTATGTATTCTCTGGTTAAAAGGATTGACATATCAGAAGTATTGGTTCTGAGTTTTGTTTGTTTTTGCTTTGTTTTGTTTTTTAAATCAAGTATAGATAAAAAATGCTATAGATAAAAAATGCTAATAGGAAACTGACTTAATGTTAAGCGGATTCTGCTTATGCATTTGTAGAAGATCTGAAATTTCAAAATTAAAAAGCATAGGTCACAATAAAAAACTTTCAATCTGTCTAATTCTAAATTTGATTCTAGATTTCGTATACCTGCTTTTAAAAGAAACTGAAAGAAACTTCAGCTGTTTTCAGTGTCCATTTTTTATTATATGAGTGTTTCAATTTTTAATATTCCCCACATTAATTTCTTTTTTCAGGTCTTCCAAGTTGTAATTGCACCTGATATGGTAACTAGCTGCTCTCCATCAACCCATATACAGAGCAGGACAGAAATGATTCAAACTGCAAAAAAATTATCTGGGTTAATGAAGTGGAAAAAGTTCCTGAGAGCAAAGGTTAAATAAGAGAACACGCGGCCAAGGGAGTTTTTTGAATCTGCTTTCATAAGGGTCTTTTGGGATTGACATGTACACACTACTATATTTAAAACAGATAACCAACAAGGACCTACTGTACAGCACAGGGAACCCTGCTCAATATTCTGTAATAATATAAATGCGAAAATAATTTGAAAAAGAATATATATATGTATAACTGAATCACTTTGCTGTACACCTGAAACTAACACAACATTGTAAATCAACTAAAGTCCAATATAAAATAAAATTTTTTTTAAAAAGCAACTATGGCAAAACTGGCATAGAACAGGTATCTGTCCTCAACCAGAGACTTGTGAACTACTGAACTTGAAACCTGGCTTAGCAGAGTTAGGGAAAGAATATAACCCCTTAAATAATGTACATACATATTTGTACATGTTTGTATAAGCAACAAAGCAACACCAAATTGGTCACTGTGGTTATGTTATAGAGTATGAACTGTAGAGGATAGGAAGAGACCATTTACATATAGTATTACTTGGATCATTACCATGAACATGTGTTACCTGTGTATTTCTAACACCGGTCTTTTGAAACTTTGTTTTATTTTTAATGTTCAGGGTTGTACAGGAAGACACATATGATTCAAATCCTGGTTCTATAACCTACTTTGTCATGTGGGCGACTTACCTTGAACATGTGACCTTTGGCTAATTTGTTAACTCTTCTGAACCTCAGGCCCTTTACCTGTACATGGGGATCATACCAACCTCACAGGGTTGTCTTGAGGTTTAGATACAATTATGCTTAATGTCAAGAGTAATACCTGGTACATAGAAGGTGTTTAATAAACAGAAATTCTTATTCTAATAATCCAGGCTGATTGTCCTACTCTCCCATGCCTCCCTTTGATCCCAATTGGAATGAGAGCTAAGAAACAAACGCCCCCCCCCCCCCCCGCCACCACCCTCTGACCAAATCCATTCCTTTCTAAGACTTTCCTATTGACGATTTTCACTCAAAATTCCTATGTCTGGCTGCAGGACTTCACGTTCACCACATACTCCTACACCCTACTTTAAGGACTGACACCATTAGAGAAACCATCACCCCTATTTCTAAAAACACCTAACTTCCATTCTGATATCATATCATAGAGTCTTAGAAATTTAATGTTACAAATTTAACATATAATTTTTAAAAATTAGAAAAACTGGTTAATTAAAAGATAAAAAGGGAGCTATTAAATCAAGGTCAATGTCTTTTAAGTTTAATAAACTTAGAAGGTACCTCAATTAGGAAACGCCTCATTGGATACCACCAAAGTGAGGAAGAACCCCAGCCATTTGACACAGCAAAACACCAGCTGCCTAGGCTGCCTAAGCTTGTGAAACAATGTCTGGAGACCTGCTAGAGACCATGGGGAAGGACAGAGACTCCTTTGGTAGCATGGGGAAGGACAGAGACTCCTTTGGTAGCAGAAAAGGTGGTAAGACCAAGGGTGCTATCTTTTAGCATCAAACTTACTGAAAAGGTAAACTGTAATATACATGAAAGTGAGTACCATATTTGTCTTCTTCACCATGGAGCCCCTAGACAC